ATTATAATATATTTATAAGTAAATAATAAAAGAGTGTTCATAGTTCCGTAGATTTATATTTACTATTTCCTATTCCTACATAGGTACCTACTGCTTATAAACTACTGAAATTAATATTTCGTTTTAATAATAATAAATAGTAGTAATTTGTTTCGTCATAGAAGATTACAATAAAGTAGGTATATAAGATATACAATACCTATATGATACTTCCCCAGCGAGCCCCCCCCTCCCAAAAAAAAAGCAAAAGCTTGTACTTGGGATGAGTGAGTTCATAACAGCCAGTTAAAATATAGTATTATATTGTGTAAAAATAATAGAATTAAAATTTGAAAATTGAAACTTAATTTTCAGTAAAACATTATAAAGTTTTTTTTTTAAATTTAATTTACACTATTTAAATCTAAAGATGTGAATAATTAATTAATATGCATTTTRTTTTTAATCAGGTTATATCGATAGTTAATTGTCTACATAAATCTATCCCTACATTCACAGTATTAAACTTCCCAAAATGTTTGTARTTTTATATAATTTAAAAATTTTAAACTACCTACTTAACGTTTTAAATCTTGTACTATAAGAATGATGTGGTTTAAAGTTTAAACTTCTAACATTGGTTTTAAATAAGTTTAGTAATACTTTCTTATGGCAAAGTAGGTAAGTACTTTTAAATTCATTGAACAAATTTATTGTATGATATAACCTTGGCTTGGATAAAATTATCTCTATGACTCTATTAATCCATGCATCGTAATCTGTAGATTTTTGATATGMGTGTATTGTAGGTTCCACCACAAATTTCTATACCTACCATACCTAAATATCGGTTGTGAGCGAGTGAAAAATAGATAGGTCTTAATAATAAAGGACTCAGGGTTTGTTTTAGATTTTTAAAAACACTAAATAGTTTTCAAATGAATACAATTATATTATGCCATATGCGATAGATTTTATTCTAGTTAAACTCAACATTTTTACAACATATTCAACTAAGTTTTAACTATTTTAGACAATTTATTTTCACTTTTTGCTTTAACCAAAATAGTTTATCATTAGCTTATGGAATGATAGATCTATTAATTTTAAGATTTAATAAGCTATTGATATAAATAATAAATATAATTGGACCCAAGACTGTCCCTCGAGGAACTCCGTATTTTGTTGTTAGAGAATTACATACAATTTATGCTATTAATTTACTCGAGATCTATAAGTTAGGTATGAGATAAATACATTCTAAGTTTTTCCTCAGATACCATAGCATTCTAATTTATTAATCAAAACTTGATGATCAACTTATTGAATCAAAGGCTTTTTTTAAATCTAAAAAAATTAAAACTATTGTCTTGTAATTATTCGAATTAGTGTGTACCCAGTCAGAAAGATAAATTATAGCGTCTATTGTACCTATATCTTCCTGATCTAAAACAAAATTGGCTATCTAAAAAAAAAAATTATATTTAACAAGAAAATCTAGTAACTAGGTAATCCTTTAAACATATTTCAAATAATTTGGAAGTAGATAAGGTTAAAGAGATTGGTCTATAATTTCATTGTGGAAAATACCAGTACTAATTATTAAATTGAAAATAATGGCTAAATACTTTAACTACTAATAATGTGAAAAACTGAAATTACTTATAAATTATAAAATACTTTCAGTGAACGACGATTGAGGGCTCAAGCCCCTTCGGCGCTAAAATTACCTGCCTGTGGGGAAAGAAAGGGTGACCCTTTCAGGGTTATGGAGGAGAGAGCATACCTTTGGACAGATGGATAACTTAACAAGTACATTTAACCTAATTAATTAAAGTACCAAGTATAGGTTAGGTTAGTTTCTATGACTAATTCTATTTGTTTTTCATTTTTACAAGTATATATAGTTTTATAAAATAATTGTTGCATCAGTTATTGATGTTTAAAGGTTAGATTAGGTTAGGTTAAGGTTACATTTAGAAAATTTTAACTATAATTCAAATTTAAAAAATAATATAATTGTATTTTTTTTTATTTACAAGTTATAACCTTATTTGTTAGGTTAGGTTATAAATTTGTAATTATATTTTTAAAATTAATGCTACATAAGTCTTAACACTCTTAACTATTTATTTATTTATTTATTCGCATGGCTACTCTTAACTATGAATTGTCATAATACTATAATAGTCATTATTCGGCTTTGATAGTTAGAACAAAAATATATAATAAAACAAAGATATCTAATATAATGCCAATATTTGTGATAAACACTAATGAATATTTATACCGAATGTTAGATAGTTAGTAACCTAAATAATATTTAAATTTAAAACTAATATTGACAATAATTTTCAAATATATCACTTTGCATAAATAAATAATTGCATATACAAAAATAAATTCAGTCATGGCATATTAAAAAATAAAAAATAAAAAATAAAATAATAATAATAATATCAAGCTAATATTAAACTATACTTTTTTGGATAAATGAGTTTCTCTATGACTTAAAACTTCTTTAATACCAGAAAAATATTTTCCACATGTAGTGCACTCATACATTTTGTTTTCCTTTTTTTTAGGTTGATGTACAGAATTATTATGTTTATCCATAGCTTCTTTAGTTGGTAAAACAACATGGCAAATGCCACACTCAATTTCAATCATATGCTCCAGATCAATATGTTTGTTTTTTGCAGCGTATGTTGTAAATATACGATCACAATGATTACAGCTAAATGAATTTGAAGGACTTGTATAATGTACAACTAAATGATCTTCCATTTTGTCCAAGGTATCAAAATAAGCATTGCAGGTGACACATTGAAACTCTAATGGAGTTTCATTATGATGGCAATTGGTATGACGATCAAGACTTTGTTTGTTCGAAAATCTTTTCTCACAATATTTACAGATATGGGTAACATTATGATGCATTGAAATGTGTCGCTTAAGCAATCCTGAAGTTTTGTAATGAGTTGGACATTCTGAACACTTAAAACTACCTATATCTAAATGAAAGCGAGCTCGATGACTAACTAGGAACATCATAGATTCTGCTTCAAAATTACATTCACCGCAAATAAATACAACTTTTCCATTTTTAACAATAACCAATGGTTTTTCATTGTCCATTTCATTTTCATTCTTTATTTTTTTTGATTTATGTTTTTGACTTTCAAATAAAGAATTATCTAAGCTACGTTTTAAATTAACTGATGTACTTTTCTTTTGCTAAAACAAATAAAATAAGCTATAAGCAAACAATTATCCATGATTTAAAAATATTTTTATACATACATCGTTAGTTTTTGAACCTTGATAGTTGTTCGAATTTCCATTCAGTTTTTTAGTAATAATATCCGACTCATTGTTATCATTATTTATGATTTCTTTAATAGTACTTGTATTCTCGTCAATGTGCACAGTATTTTTGCTATTTGTATCAATTGTAACATTGACCGGTT